ATGATGATGATGATGATGATGATGATGATGATGATGATGATGATGATCTTGTTGACAACAGACTGAGGTCAGTTCGGTGTTCTGGAGATGATCATGTCCACGTCCATCAGTGGAATGCTCTTCAGCCACATGGTCTGCCATTAAGAGAGGAACGACCTATCATGCGTGAGAGACGCTCTGTTTGGGTTGGTGGTCGACGATGGGCGATCAACGAGTGGCAGGGCCTTGACCTCTCGTCTAGAGTTGCTACATGGCCTGCTAGATGAGTTGCTCTGCCTGGATTGTTTCGGTTTGGACGCAGACTGGAGCTGAAGACTCCGCCGCCGTTTTTCTCCAAACCCCGTGGCGCCGTTTTGACCGTTTTGAGGCACCTTTGCCGGGCAGCCTTTGTCGATCCTGGGCGCCACGGGACCTTTCTTGGCCTACACCTTGGCGCCCTGGCGCGCGAATAACATGGAACACCGGCGGGTCGTTTGAGGACTGCCAAAGACGTCCACCTTCTGAATGGGGCAAGCGGGGCCGGCCAGTCGGCCAGCCAGTCGGCCTGCTGTGAACTTCCGAACGAAAACACCGCCGGTCGGCCCCCCCTATTCCAGTAGGTAAACCCCTTGAGACGGAGAACTGTTCCATCCTCGCGGGCGCTCCGCGGGGGCGGTCGCTCCAGAGGCGAAGAAACGCCGGTGGCGGTCTGCGGATGCTGAGCCACTCTATAAACCTGCCTGTTCATGATTAGTGGCTGAGCTGGCAGATGCTCTACTCTATGTCGTATGTTTAGTGGTGTAAGCAAATTCTTACGACATAGGCAGATGCAAAACGTTTTCAGAGCTGAAACCAGCTTCCTTCAAAGTGACCTTTTTGGAGTTAGCAAGTGACTGTTTGCAGGCCTAAGTGACCTCAAACCAGGATATAAAAGGGGTCACTTTGAAGGATCAGGAACAAGTTGATTGGGGTTTCAGTTTTTTGGGCCTTGGACTCAATTGGACGAGTCGGCCATGTTTCCAAAAAATTTCGCCGAGGCCTTCATGGGAGGTGATGCAGTCGGGACGTACTCATTCTTTCAAGTCGTTTTTTTCCAATTCACGATGTCATGGTGGATTAGGCCGTGGAAAGTCGGCAGAGTGGTTGCGGACTTGGGGGCGGTTCATCCCGCAGTCTGGTTCTACCGGCACTGGTGTCGATCCCTGAACTCAATGGGTGGGACCTGCACACTTGTGACATTTGCAATGAGAGAGAACCATAGGTCTTCTCTCTTGTTTTTGTTCCATGTTTTTGCTCGTCGTTTTTGCTTTTTCTTTTGGTTTGTTTGTTTCTCTTCTCTCTTCTCTCTTCTCTGTGTGTTCCCTCCCTCCCTCCCTCGCTCGTTCAACCCATAACTTACCCAGATCCCACAAACTTCCTCCTGAAAAACACCTGGAAGAGCTGGTTTGCTCACCATGAAGTGCTGATGGCACGCAATCCCCCTCCGTCCAATCGTTGGCAGCTCGTGGAGCTCGGAGCACCTAAGGTGGTCTATGATTTGGGCATCGCCTTCAACCTGGAATTCATGCCCTTGTGTTCCGTCCAAACAGAATCTCGCAAACCAGAAATCTGCTTTCACATGAGGTGTACCAGCTCGGGACACACCCCAGCGATCTAGGCTTAGGACGAATCTTGGTAGATTCTTTGAGATGTCATTTGGCCAGAAAAAGATCAGAAAGATAAGTTACTGTAATTTGATCCACGAAACCACTTGATGGTATAGAAACCTTGAGGTATAATTGCACCAGTTGGTTTTCTGCCTTTTGAAACGCTTTTGGGCAAGCGGAGGGACACTTGAACTCCATGGGATTTTCCGTTCAGGTGTTCCCGTTTTGCGAGCAAAATGGGGTAAGAAACAGTAACGAATCCTATTGACATATGCCACCAGAAACACAAAAAATTTCAATACTGGACAGCAAAAGACATCATGCAGGAGTGGTGCGTCTTGTGACTTCAAACCAGGTACTTCTGGACCTGCATGTGGTGCGCATTCTTCACCATTGTGGTTGCCGTGTTCGACCTTTGTGCCCTCATGAAGCATGCAACATGGCCTTGCTTACAGGATTGGCCGCTTTTCACGCCGAACACCGCTGCGATGTTTGTACAAAGGGTTCCTACAGCATTCGGAAAAATGCAGACACACACACACACACACACTCGGGAAATGCATACTGAATTGATGGCCCCAAGCCCTGGAGAAGCCTAAGTGAAAAAATTGCCTGGGTATAAGGGGTAGTATGTAAGGCGGTCTAGCGATCTTCACGAGGCCGCGGTTTCTGAAAGTCTCAAACTCCAAAGCTTCACGGTTCGGCGGGATCGAAAGCGAAGACACTTGTCTGCAGAGCTCAAAACCGACGCAATGGCCAATGACTTGTTCTAGTGACAAAGGGGCCCAGGAGGAAGTGAGTGGTAAACACTGCAGGTACCTCTGGCTGATCAGGCCAAATATCAGCACGGAGCTTGACCATCTTCGTTGGATCACCAGTCAAGTCCGTGGGGGATCCCCCTGCTTGAAAAGAATGACCGACAGGTCCCTTATGACAGCAAGCGTTTCACACACACGCCTCCGCGAAGGGAGGCAAAGGCAACGGCTGATGTGCACGTGTGCACGCAAAAGAGACAAAAGAGAAGGCGTGAAGAGAGAACGAAGCAAGACGAAAGTGTGTGGTTGCCGATGGAGGAATAACCAAGTGAATGGGGACAACCGATGAACCAAGCCTCATTGAAGCGAGCCTGTGGGCACCTATTCCTAGTTTGTTGAAGAACGCGCGTGTGCACAAACTAGGGTCCAGCAGAAGTGCACGCAAAGAAGAAAAGGGTGAAGATGACAGGATGTCAAGACAGAACGGACATGAAAGAAAAGAGGGAGACGGTGTGTGGGGGCCAATGGGGAGAGAACCAGATGAAAAGGGACAAGCCGGTGAACAGCCAAGCTTCATTCAAGAACCTCTTGCAAACACCTCGTGTGTTGGTAACTACGCTGCGCGCAGGGGAGGGCGGGGGCGGGAAAAAGAAAGGAGAAAAGAAAGAGGACACCCGAGTACAAACACGAAAAAGGAAGAGAGAGAAGGGGAAAGGAAGAAGGAACAACAGGTATTCCCAGTTACAACAAATGAATCCAGGGACGCACCACAAATGGGGCGCCTGGATATTGCATCCAGGGATGCCCTAGAGAAGGGTGAGAAGAAAAGAAGAAAAGAAGGGAATAAAGGACGGGTCAGGTTCTCCCAGCTACAACACAAGCGTCCGGGGTGCCTGGGTGTTACATCCAGGGATGCCCCAAAGAGATAGGACAGGCCCCCGAGGGGCCTTGAAATGTGACCACTGCGGTCTGCTCATGGCATTCAGCCTGCTCTGGTCCGCTATGGACGACTATCGGCCTTCAGCCTGCTCAAACTCTATCCAAGTCGGCAATGCGTACTGAATTGATGGGCCCTGGAGAAGCCTAAGTGAAAAAATTGCCTGGGTATAAGGGGTAGTATGTAAGGCGGTCTAGCGATCTTCAGGAGGCCACGGTTTCTGAACGTCTGAAACTCCAAAGCTTCACGGTTCGGCGGGATCGAAAGCGAAGACACTTGTCTGCAGAGCTCAAAACCGACGCAATGGCCAATGACTTGTTCTAGTGACAAAGGGGCCCAGGAGGAAGTGAGTGGTAAACACTGCAGGTACCTCTGGCTGCTTGACCCTCTTCGTTGGATGAAAGAAAGACCGGGCTTCACACACACACACATCACTTCCAGGCATAGAGGTTGATCGAGCGCAGATTGTTTGATACGAAATACGGTGCAGAGCCAAACAGGTTTCCTTGATGGCTGGTATGGGTGAAGAAACTTTGATAAACTTTGTCACCCCTCATCGTCTCAGGTGACTATGTTCAGCGAAGACATCTTCGCGGGACTCATCAGTTTGATCTTCATCATCGACGGAGTCAGGCTGCTCTTCTACCCATTCCCGCCCCTGTTGCTCACAGGCGTCGTTTCCACCCGAACCCCCAGTTGAAGCTCTGTGCCCCAAAGAAGAGCGGTCGAGTGCGGGCGTGATGTTTTGGGTGGTCAGTATGTGTTTTTTCGGGGGGATTTTTTTGTTTCACGCTTGTTTTAGAGCTCTGAAAGCTCGCAAGACGAAGGATCGGGATCGCTCCAAGGAGCAGACACATTGGACCCTGCTGTTTGTGTAGTCAGCGCTGGGTTGGGTGGGTTGGCTTTGACCCACAAAAGGACAGACATCTATTTACTGTAGCAAGGGATTTCACTGCAATGGTAATGGGGGTTCAGTAAATGGGGCAGACAATTCAATCAAGATTATCCAGGTCTTTTTGCCAAGCTTCGACGCACACCCGCGTTTTTCAGGAGTGAACTCTGATGAACTCTGGGTGCATGACTTGTGCTCAACTGGATGTGATTGGGCGGATTGCCTCTGCGATGCTTCCTCATGTCCGCCGAGCCTGTCGGGTTCGAACCCACGCCGAAGCTGCGAGACTCCAGTGACGAGTGCCCCCCCCGGTTTGGTCGGCAAAGCACATGCGCCTGGGGCAATGCACCACGGCGGAGCATCCGGTGGAACATCGCGAAGTGTCCATGTGTTTTTAAATCTCGGAGCGGCTGGTCCTAACGGTTGACGTGTGGGGCAGGCCGATCATCCAGAACTTCGCTGACTGCTGGTTCGTGAGCACTGAGTGTGCCTTGACCCCAAAGGAGAGGACGCTTCGAAGGTTTGAAGACGTTTGCAGCGGCTAAATCTCCACCCGCCGCCCAAAAAACTCTTGGAAGATCACTTATTCCTACCCAAAATAGGTAGGTGGATCAAGTGCAAAAACGACTTGTTCGGGGGATCGGTTTCAGCGACCTCGGCCCCTTACCGGGACCCGAGGTCCAGGTCCACGGAGGGGTTCAGGTCGGAGGTATTGCAACGCGGGTTTTGGGACATGTTTCCATGGCGACATGGAGAAGAAAGCGACCATTTCACCAGTGGTGATGGGGTATTTTCCACCCGGTCAAAAAGGGGTTTGGTGCCTGTTGTGCCTATAGACCATGCGTCTCCTCCTTCCGATGTGGTCGGGTGTTGGACTATCTACCCGAACGGCCACTGTTTTGGTACCTTCCCTGAGGATGACTGGGTGAAGAGAAGCCTTAGAACTTAGAGCTTAAAAGCTTTGTGCCAAATGGCTGTGGGTCAAAACCTGGAGCGCCAAATCCTGGTGGGTTGACATCCCTTATAGAGGAATCTGCTAACATTCTCAGTGGTCAACCAGGGTTACGGTTAGAATGAAGATACTTACAGCCACACTGACAAGGGTTATCAGAATTATTTTGATTTTTTTTGGTAGTTCTTGTTGTCATTTAACCGTTACGGGGCTTTGACCCACAGCCGCCAAATGTCCATTTGCATTGGCCGCGGACTGCATTTCGCTGGTTAACACCATTTCGCTGCCAAATGTTTAGGGACCCCATTCGCATGCCGAGGCGTGCCGCCGGTGCCCTTGCCAAGCGCCTTCTTCGAGCTCTTGCTCTTCCTTTACACCTTCGGACCCGCCACGCGCGGCACGCGCCTACCGCGCGCGGAACGCGCGCGGTGAAGCCACTAAGCCTCGAGAGGCCTTTGGTGTTGGTGTCAGCTGTGTCACTGCTGTGCCACTGCTGCGGTGCAGGAGTCGCCAGCTACCTGTCCCACTTCCGCCGCACCCCGTGGCTTCTGCGTCCCGTGCGAAACTTCTTCGCCGCTGAGCTCCGAGGGGATCGGTGAAGAGAGCGGGTTGCACCTTCGTACCTTTCGCACTTTTTTTGCACGGGAATGCGAAATGGCACGTGTGTCTTTTTCCCCTACTTCAGCTATTGATTGCAGATGATTGCAGTATGTTTTGGCTCACTTACCGTTTTCACGACTCCACAGCACCCCCAGGAGAGTGGAAAAAAAGCTCTCCAAGCTTTTTCATGAGCGCTTTCTGCAACATCAGCAGAACAGGACTGTTTGGCAAAGCTGCCAGGAATTTGATCGGTTTTTTGGTATATTTCATTGGAGGGGGTGGACCTCATGTGATATTAGAAGCAATTGCACACATACACACATACATGCCACTTCCTCTCATGATCCCCCTTAACATTCAGAGCAGTGTGGCCACTATGATTTGGCCCTTGACACATCAATGTGCGAAACAAGTCAAGGGCCATTGGTGCATTCTTATTTTCCCTCTCTCCATCTCTCTCTCTCTCTCTCTGCATGCATAGATCGCATAGACTCTCCCACCCCTCAAACTGTCATTGACAGGATGAAAACACCGAGTTTCCTGGCGTTTACACGCTTCACCGCTGGGAAACCCACCAGGTCAGGTGAACCAGGCCGAAGAGTGGCTCCGCAGCCATGGCACCGCAGTCAGCTCAGGCCAACTTCGCTGTGACGTTCTCCCTGCTTACGGCCAGTGCGCTCGCGGCCATTTACTCGACGGAGACTGGGGTCGCGGATGGATGCGACGTGCACGCGATGGATGGACCGAGATCCTGAGTAGCATATCCTCCACCTTGAACCCTTTTTGGCCTTTGTTTGGGACCGCCCGATCTTCGGCCGCAAATCCTCACAAAAAAGAAGGGGGTCATGTCTGAGTTCGCAGCGACCATCGGCACGTGTCGCACCAGGCTTAGATGGAGCCGCGACGAAGCGAAGACTTCCGTTGGTCGTCGGTGAAGTCCGTAGGGGGTTTTCTTCGAAAACCCCTCCGACAATGGTGCGAATGGAAGTGCAAAGAGATTTTGGAGTGGGTCCCTTCTTCTTCCTTCTTCTTGTGCTTACAAGACTTGCTTTCTTTTTGGGGTGGGGTCTCTGTGAGTTGGCTGTGGTATGTGGCACCAGCAAGAAGAGACGTTGCATCAAGGCACCAGGTGGCTGAGGCGAACACCTCTTGGATCGGCTGAAGATTGGAAGGGAGAACTTTGGAACTTTGGATGTCTTATCGAAGCCTTTTGAACCAGACAACTTTTTTGGCGAATTTTTCGACCCTAGGGCCTACTCTAAAGGTATTAAACATGGCCCTGGTTAAATGTTAAGCGCGAGTGTAAGGGTTCCTGGTTTTGACTCAAGATATTCTCAGTAGCTTAATCCTCATTCTCGGTTCTTTTCGGTCTGCAGGAGACGAACTTGCGGATGCTCTCCGTGGAGGCTGAGCTGGCACCGGCACTGATGCTTGGCTCGGGGCCACCAGATGACAGGGCGGGTACTGGGGGTGGCGAGTGGCGGCTAGTGGTCAAAACCCAGACCCAGACCCTGTAGGTTGACCATGTTTGGTAGTTTTTTCTGTTCATTTTCGGTCAGAAACAGTTAGTTGTTTTTCGGTTTTGACTCCTAGGCACTAGCCAGGTGTCGAACCACATTGGATCATTTGGATGACCAAAAGAACCTATATTAAAAGAACCACTTGGTCCTTCGAGTGGCAAAGACGCCTTGCATCCGTTATGCTGTCTCTCGTCGTATAGATGGTGCCCTATGACATGTTCTAAAGAACGGCCACTTTGTTGTGGCCGCCCTGGTCCCAACCTTTCTGGCCGACCCCTTGGGTGCGTAGACCAGAAGGCTTCTTATGTGTTGACCAGAAGGGCCTGGTGTTTTGGTAGTTCAATGCTCTGTACTCAGTCACGGCAGTGTACCTGTTGAGGTCGTGGGCGTGAAGAAACACCCGCGGTTGTGGTGATTCTTGTGTTGATTGTTTTCCCGCCCCATCCTTGTGAGCGTGTGTATATATATATATAAGATTGCATAAAGTTATTTTTGTTTTTGTCTCTTTCAGGGTTCAAAAACGAGGAGATTATGCTGCCCCCCGGCTCTGATATGGAAACCTATATAGTGCTGTAAAGCAGCTCCATCGTTCCCACTTCAACAGCTATGGGCTAGGAAAATGAGCATCAGTGCGGATGGTGCTGGGATGGACGTGAGGTTGTGGGTTGTGGGCCCGGAGGTTCCTTTTGTGGGCACCGTACTTTGGGATCGGCTTGAAGGGCGCTCACCACATGTCGTGTAGAATGAATTTTTGGTCTTTTGGGACTTTGGCAATATGTGATCTCAATTTTGGCAGCTCTTCTGCCAATTCGCTGAGACTTGAACAACGGGGTTCACCTGCCGACTTCCAATGCCAGTGAAGAGGGGGTTAGTGGTTAGTGCACGTCGTAGTGCACCTCCCTCGAGAGCTTGGTGGTCACTGAGCCATGAAGTGCTGTAGAGTTCTTAGATGTTGCATTGCAGAGTTTCCCAAGTGCTCGCCAAGAATCACACATTGACTGATGACATTTTCCCCCTCCAGGCCAGATATGAAGGCCATCCAGGTAAAGGGAGGTTAGTAATGTAGACTCTTGATGAATAAAACACCCCAAGTTTGAAGAGGTTTTTCAATTCAACCGGGGGGTTATTCAATGTGGCGGCTTATTAATACACCCCATATGGAAGGGGGTTTTCAATAAAACCTCTCCGGTTCTCAGGGACTTCGCGAGGCTTTCGGACGACGCCCCCAGACCGTCGAACCACGAGGACCCTGAGTTCGGGCGCCAAGCGGCCGTGGATCGTGAATCCCATGGGTATCGAGACGGAGCTCCTTGGACATCGAGGGTATACGAGACTCATGCGTTTCAGTTTTTCGTCGCGCGTGGCGTTGAGATTGGTATTTTGCGAGAGTTGAAAGAGTCCAAGTAGGGGGAAGATGGCTGAAAGTGAAGATTCACCAAAAAGGGCGGGGGGCTGCAAAGAGTGCATGGATGAATTCTTGCCCTGGTGAGTCGCTTGGTGAGTCCTTCTTCGAGATGTTTTGACATAGGTCGCACATCGTTCGAAGGTGTTATAGGTGATTGGCTTTCCCCAAACAACAGCCTTCCCTTTTTTGGAGGCTTGTTATATACATCGGACATTAATTCCGGCCTTGGGAATCAAGTGAACTGTCCCCCACACACAGCAAGAGTTCAGTCATCAGTATTTGTGGACTTGGTGCTGATCCGGACATCGGACATGGTCTTGAATTCTGCTGGGTGAGCCCACGGGTCACCCCATACACCACCGTAACGAAGTCCTCCGCACGAAGTCCTCCGTTGAACCCACCTGCCCTCGGCGGGGGTCCCTCGCCCTTGCCCGGCGTGGCGTCGGCAGATTCCCTGTCTGGGGCATCTTCTTCGCCATTGTGCCTGCAATTGGGTTCGCGGTCCTGGGACGCCCGGTGGATGATGAGACTGGTGGAGAGGAGATGTTTCAGGGCGATGGACAGGGCTGAAAAGAAGGGAGCAGAAGCACATGTGACGGCGGCAGACTGAGGTGAAAGAACCCAAAGGGGGTGAAGTGTTCCTGTATTTTTGGGCGAGGCTAGAGGTTCTTTTTGGATGCCCCGTTGAAAGATGCTGCTTTCTCCGAAGCGTTGTGGTTTTGGTGGGAATTGGCATCGGGTGGTACAGTTGGGTGGTTGGCTCGCAGAGGAACGGTGGAGCACTAGAGGTATCACCAGAGCTTGGGTGGGTTTGGAGGGCGGGCATGGCGCGGCCGCTGATTTGTCTTGTTCGAGGCCGCTGATTTGTGTAGGGTTCACAGGGATCTGGGCCCCCCCAACCGATCACCTGTGCCACAAGCCACAAGCTGGTGGGGCCAGTCTCGAACTTTGGACAGAGACCTAGTGACCGCCACGGAAGGTCTGGTGAAAGGAAGGATCGACGAGGGATCATAGATGAGAATGGCGATGGACACAGGTTCATCGGTTCATCGTGAGATTGACAAGTACGACAAAAGCTCAACAGAGCGGCCGTGCCTTCAGTCAAAGGGAGACTGGACCAGTCTTTCGGTGCTTCAATGGTTCCTATGTTTGGCTCCTACCCCATGGGATTTTGGACAGATTGAAGTCACCACGGAGGGTTCTTTGGAGTTGAAGATGTTTGAACATCCTGAATTTCTCCCAGCTCTACTGACGGATTGTGGAAGGTTCTGCCTTGACAAGACACTAGGGTGGTCAAAGGGCCAAGCAGGTGTGTCTCAACTCCTGATCGCTTTGGAAGTTGCCCCCATTGGCTTCCGCAACTGGCCCAACTGGCCGTGGCCTTTTTCCCGAATGCGTAGCGAAGGGTTCTCGTTTAACTCTGGGGGCTTGTTCGCGACGCGTTGTCTCAGCGTCCGCAACCATCCGCAACCGTTCGCAACCGACCGCGGTAGGGCGCTAAGGCGCTGCCATTGGGGGAAGCTTTTGGAGAGGGTTTCGGATGGAAACGTGACGTGTCAGATTCGTGTGAAATAGCGTGCAAACGTTTGGACATGTAAGATGTTGAAGTGTGGAGGATGATTTCACTGCGCAGGCGCAGCGTTTTGTGAGATCCGCAGTTTTCTGCGCAGTTCCATTGGGATTAGCGTTTGGAGAGTGGTGTTTTGAGGTGTTGGACGTGGCCGTGCCATTGGGGTTTGCGTTTCAGGGTGTTGCATCGAAGCTCTGTTTTCGTGACAAGTCTCAGCTGAAATGGCGATTTTGGTGGATGGGACTGTGATCAGAACGGGTCGAAATCATTCCAAACGTGTGGTGTGGTGCAAATTTTGTTGAAGCTCACATGATATGATAGTGTCACTTTACTTTGTCCGGGCTTTGAGGTGTGGAAGTGCGATTTTCGTGGCAGGCGCAGGGAGTCGTGAAGTTGCGAGGTGTGACGGAGGTGACATTTCGTGGCAGGTGCAGCACTTTGTGCGCGTTAGACGTGTGGACGCGGAAAGATTCGTGGCAGGCGCAGGGAACCGTGAGGTTGTGAGTTGTGGTCGAGGTGAATGTTGCTGTGACATTGGGATTGGCGTGTGAGCGGGTGTTGTTTGGAGGGGCTGGAATCGCGAAACTGCTTGGCAGGGCCGCGTGATGTGTGTGCTCCGACTTGACTTTTGGAGGAAGTCTCGTGCGAAACGCTCGTTTTGCAGACTTTGACATGTGAGTTTTTGAGGAACGTACGAAACGCTCGTTTTGGAGACTTGACGGGTGACTTTTGGAGGAAGTCTCGTACGAAGCGCTCGAAGCGTGACTTTGGAGGAAGTCTCGGTACGTAACGCTCGTTTTGGAGACTGTACGCGTGACATTTGGAGGAAGTCGCGCACGAAGCGCTCGTTTTGCAGACCCGCAGTGTGATTCGAAGCCTCGCCTGTGCCCTGCGGATTTGCACGCCCTTGGTGGAAAGTGCGTTAGCGAGGCGCCGTGCCACTGGGGAGCGCGAAACATGCTGGCGTAAACGCGGCGTGTTGCTGGTGATCCGGATGATAGGTGGTATCACGTGATATGTTTGCTTCTAGTGTGTGGCAGACCGTGTGGCGAAATTACGTTCGTGATGTCGCAGTGCCATGCGGATTTGCGCGGCCTTGGTGGAAAGTGCGTTTGCGTGGCGCCGTGCCACTGGGGAGCGCGAAACATGCTGGTGTAAACTTGTAAACGCAGCATGTCGCCGGTGAGCAACAAGAGCGTCCCACAAAAGTGTTCTAGAAGAGTGTCCCACAAGAGTGTCCTGTAAGAGTGTCCCACAAGAGTGTCCCACAAGAGTTTCCTACAAGAGTTTCCCGTGAGAGTGACCCACAAGAGTGTCCTACAAGAGTGTGCTACAAGAGTGTCCCGGAAGAGTGTCCAGAGTGTCCTACAAGAGTGTCCCACAAGAGTGTCCCACAAGTTTTTCCCCAAATTCTGCCCCACAAGAGTTTCCTACAAGAGTGACCCACAAGAGTGCCCTAGGAGAGTGTTGTGCAAGAGTGTCCCACAAGAGTGTCCCACAACATTGCCCTACAAGAGTGTCACACAAGAGTGTCCCAGAAGAGTGTCCCACGAGTGTGTCCTGTAAGAGTGTCCCACAAGAGTTTCCTACAAGAGCGACCCACAAGAGTGTCCCACAAGAGTGCCCTACAAGAGTGTCCCACACGCAAGAGTGTCCCACAAGAGTGTCCCACAAGGGTGTCCCATAAGAGTGTCCCACACGAGTGTCCTATAAGAGTGTCCCACAAGAGTGTCCTACAAGAGTGTCCCGTAAGAGTGACCCGCAAGAGTGTCCTACAAGAGTGTCCCACAAGAGTGTCCCATAAGAGTGTCCCACAAGAGTTTCCTACACGAGTGACCCACAAGAGTGTCCTACAAGAGTGTCCCAAAAGAGTGCCCCGCACGAGTTTCCTACAAGAGTGTCCCACAAGAGTGTCCTGCAAGAGTGTCCCACAAGAGTGTCCTACAAGAGTGTCCCACAAGAGTGTCCCATAAGAGTGTCCCACAAGAGTTTCCTACACGAGTGACCCACAAGAGTGTCCTACAAGAGTGTCCCAAAAGAGTGCACCGCACGAGTTTCCTACAAGAGTGTCCCACAAGAGTGTCCTGCAAGAGTGTCCCACAAGAGTGTCCTATAAGAGTGTCCGACAAGAGTGTCCTACAAGAGTGTCCCACAAGAGTTTCCTACAAGAGTGTTCCACCAGAGTGTCCCACAAGAGTGTCCCAGAAGAGTGTCCCACAAGAATGTCCCGTAAGAGTGTCCCATAAGAGTTTCCTACAAGAGTGTCCTACAAGAGTGTCATTTGGACATATGTAGCTTTTCGATTTGTTTGCATTCGGGTTCGTGGGCGCCATCTTGTTTCTGAAATAATGTGTGGCCGTGAACGAACAAAAGCAACCGGCGACTGTCAACGTGTCCTGAGGATACTTGGACCAGAACTTGACCAGCGTCATTGTCAATCGGCCATCCAACAACCTCCAGAGCTTTGGAAAAGGTTTGGACCAGGGCAAGGGTGGAGGAACAGGGGCCCAGGCTTGCCAACACGAAGCGCGTCGTTTCACCTAATTGCGTCTTGTATACATTGGTGATTGAAGTGCAACCCAAAATGCTCCATACATAAACATCCCCTCAACCCGCAGCGCCTCGTGTCTACCTCGATTCTAGCTTAGTGCTAGGGTTCGCAGCGAGTCTGGCTGAAGGGCCAATCTTAGCTACTACACTGGCCAGATGAAAGTTGCGCTTGTTGATGTTGAAACAACCCTATCCCCCTAGAATCCTACACCATGAGACAAGGGAAGGTGTGGGCGGTCATTTGTCACCCCGGAAAGCCTATTATTACTATAAAATTAAAAGGGTGTGATAATTGACCGTCCCACACCTGCCACGAAAATTAGACTTGTTAATTCGATCCGCCGCTGACCTCAGAGTGTTTTGTAAGAAAGCTAACAAGCGTAAACTTTTGTTTGCCTGAAGGGCAGCTCAGAGCAAACATGTAAAAAACGTGCATCCGTTCAACCTCTGCTGTTATAGCCCAACTGTGGACAAGCGTTATATATTTTATTTCAAAACATCAAACACACATAAATGTATCTACGAAGATTATCTATTTTTATTTTTACGTTTTTAGATATGTTTGGTAAATAAAAATATATGTAATGTATGTATGTATGTATGTAATGTAATGTAATGTAATGTAATGTAATGTAATGTAATGTAATGTA